AATGGCAACAGCAAACTTATTACAAAAAAACCATTTTTTTAATATTAGTTTAACGCCCTGTAACTTTGTTAGGAACCAGTTTTTGATATAGGTAAATACAGCCAAATCCACTTATTTTTTGATAATCTATTTGAGGAAGAATTTATGACATACCTTTCTGAAACACCCTGTATATCTATATACATAATGTATAGCTCACGAGCTAGGAGGTGCCTATCATCTTAGGAGGATGCACAATGGGCCAAGTGAGGCATAAGTGCCGTGAGGTAACCCACCCTCCACATGTTACAGATACAGATGTACATAACGTATATTGTTAACCTTCATACAAAATCGAATATTTTGGTATGACATTTAGTTGCAAAACTAACAGAACTAACGCATGACGAATCAAATCCTTTTGCATTTGCTGATTTCACTGTGCAACTTGAAAACTTTTTCTCACAATTAAATACACTCGAAGTGCACGTTTAATTGTTTAATAATATCAACGATGGCCTCGATCTATTTAGTTCCAGTTTGACTTTAGTAGCCGATTTGTCAACCATTCAACAATACCGATTGGGCTTGTTTAAATGAAACCATTATATTCTAACAAAAAAATATAGATAATACAAGCTTATTCAGAACAGTAAAGTAAGAACAGTTACTAATAGATTTATTCCATAAAATCATGATTAATATTATGAAATAGGTAAACGCTGGTCTTGAAATGTTATACCTACCTTTGAAAGGCGAAATGAGTAATAGAAGATATCGGTTAAGGAACGTGGATTCCTATAAGAGAAATTAGTACTAACATTTGTACAGAGTGTCCCTGAAAAGTTGTCCATAAATTTAAGTAGTGATTCTGCAGACCAAAATAAGGAAAAAGTTCAATCCAGTTCGTTACACACAGTATATACTGATTTCTTATATTTCTTATTTCCAAATAAAAAAAAGTAATTATTTGAGCGGTTCTTTAAACATCTGTAAACGTATTTTATTTTAGTCTTTTATTTAGGGTAACCATGTGTACAGCGTTTCGTGGTGGGTCTCAACGGATCATGATCCCCCTCTCCCCCGAAGTTAAAATGTGTTACAATATGTCAGCAAGATGCTACTTGCTTTATATATTAATATAATCGTTAGAGTTGACGGGCGAAACAAGTCGCCAAAATTTATTTAGCGTGGCACCTACCAAAAATTCAGTTTGGAGCCGCCCCTGAATAATAGGTGGTAAGTATGTGGTATTTATTATTGTTGTCATTACTATTAACCGATTAGACTTTATACTTTCTAGCCGTGCAAAGATAAATCTGACAATGCGGCGATTAAGTCCACTGCACTGACGTTTAGTACACCTTTGATGACTATTATGTTGTCCGGATATTTTTTTTGAAACACGTTCAAATTAAATGAAAATAGAACAGTTTTTCTAAATTAGTTGTTAAAAGTGTGCATTAACATAGATCCGAAAGTTTATGAATTTTTTCTATTTAGTTAACTGTTTAATACAGCGGTTATCTTTCTGTGAAGTTTTAAATCGACTTTTAACCATTTAATTAAAATAAGTGTTAAAAAGAGTCTGGTGGCCTGTTGTTGACCCATTACAAGGTAGATAATTATTTATTAATCAGTGGCGGCTCGTGGGCACTAGCGGCAGTCGGGCACACAAGTTCTCCGCTTAATGAAAATTAAATATATTTCAAAACAAATTAAATAATACAAAATTGAAGACTAACTGCTAGGTACCGCTGCAGTTGTATACTATTTCTTATAGTTGAAGTCCATTCTTCTGGATTTTTGGCTAGCGAAGTGATCGATGACCAGATTATTAAAATTTGGAATGGACCGAATAAGTTTTTTTTCGATGGATAACATGGCTAACGCGCACAATCTATCTTGGCACATTCCTCGTTCCTTAAAAATGTTTTAATACGTTTTAGTCTCGAAAAACATCTTTCACTCTCCACTGTAGTCATGGGAATTGTACACAGAATAGTTAGCAGCTCCACAGATTCCGAAAATGTAATTGTCAAATTGTTCTCAAAAAACATTTGTAATAACGGTACGGCCCCATTGTGTTGCACAAAGTCATCTCGGGTGTAAAGTATGGACAATTCGTTTTTGAATTTTAAGCTATTTACGTTTGGAAATAAACTACACACAGTTTTAACGTCCTTATTTGGAAAACAACCTCGGTAGTCTTTAAATTTTTCACTATCAAATAAACTTGCAATTGTTAGGTGGGTAGTAAAACTAAAACGTTCATTTACCTGCACTACTATTTTATCACAAATTTCCTTACATATCCTTAAATTAGGAATGGGGTCCTCCTTTTCAACAAACCGTTTCTTCTTGATTGTACTTGGACCTGATTGGGTGTTGTCGTTTAAGTTTAGTTCTTGTGGGTCTTGTTGTGATTGCAATTCTTCATGAATTAACGTGTCTATATTATTTCTAATATTTTGAATAGCTGCTGCAAAATTTGATATGTTTATCTTAACCTTGAGAGCATCGAGCTATCTACTCTGTATAGTTGATCAAAAAGTATATCGCAATTTGGCATTGTTTTACTGAAGAAAAATAACCAGAAACTAAAATCTGTCTTTCAAATTTTATCAACCCTTTAGTCTGATTAATAGTTTTTTTATCGAATTCTGTGTTCATAATTTCTTCAAGACATTTAATCAAATCTTCTTTATAAATATAAATAGTATTGACACACTTCTATGTAAAACTCCATCGTGTAGGAGCATTTTAAAGCATACGACTCTGAAGAAAAGGCGTTTGGCAATTTAAAATCTCCCAGTGAAAAATTTCTCTTTTATATTTTCAAATTAGAAAAAATATTTATATCTCTATTTGATAGTTTGTCAACTAAGCCTGGAATTTCCAACGCATACCTTTTTGAGATGAGCAAAATAGAATTTGGTCATCCTTGCCAACAATTTGCGAAAATGTACACCATTAAATTATTTATAAGACTCAGAATTTTTTATACTCTTAAACATGCAAACAGAGATTTGAAATCCTCGAAAAAGTCAGACAAAACCAAAAGAAAAATTAAAATTTTGTCCCATTTATAAAATTGATTTTTTTCATCATATTTTTGACTGCTTTATAAAAAAACAGTTACTTTTCTTTGTTGTTTTATTTCTTAACTATTTCAATGGTCCAACTAACGTTTTTTCATAATCACAATAAACAAATTATTATCATGGTCCAACAAACGCGTATCCTAAGCCGAAACCGGCATCGCCTTTGTGAGGGAGCCGGTAAAGATATCGCTGAGTACATTCGTATCTGGTCTAGGTAATCTGTGCCATGGGTACAGCACGTCACGCTGAGGACAGCGCCCCACTTGTGACGTATAATCCATCGCATGTGTTCATCTCTTGTTAAGCGATATTGTCGTTGTCCTTGTTTTTCGCCCCTTAATGAGAGAGAAATTAACAGAGGCACACATTTACTGTGCCCATCTTCCACTTTATTTCGGAATTCTCGGAACGTCGCTCAACGCCCGGTCGTCCAGTGTCGTGCCAACGCGGTATGCGCTGAATATTAGATAAAATAATAATAGGCATTGAGGAAAATATAAAATATGTAAGTTTTTTTTTATTTATTTATTATACTAGGGCACGTGCCCAAGTGCCTTTACGGGCAAACCGCCACTGTTATTAATTATGAGTAGTACCTGCTGTATTCCTAGCGGTAAGTTTAATTTTAATATTATTTTAAAACAAGCACAGGATGAAAGGTAATATCCCTTTTTAAATTTCCGAAGGATAAACGTCACTTCTACGGCTAAATTATTCCTTCAAAAACAGCAAAAAGAGCAAGATTGACTTAGTAAATTAATTTTTTTCATCCATTTTGATATGATAGGTAATCGATTCTACAAAAAAAATTCTTTTTGTCGGAATCATTAATCATTCGACTTGAATGTTTGTAGCAATACTACATACAAAAATAAGAAATCTGGTCAAAAAATAAAAACAGTTTTTTATATTTTTTCCATACAATTGAATGATGCAGTTTTTTTGTCATCGGCTTCAACTGCTAAAGTTATTTCGCCTCGTGTTCTGTGTAGGCTTTGCTACTGTTTTCCAGCGCCACTTTAGGAACAGCACTGTTAATTAGAACCCAACAGTGAATGGTCGAGTGGGAAATCCTACCAAGGCATCAGAATTAATTTTAAATAATTAAATTCAATAAAAAATCCCGGCCAACAGTGGGATTCGAACCTGGGACCCTTGGATCCGCAGGCAAAACTTCTACCACTGAGCCACCCACCCCCCTTATGCACTTTTTAATTTTTTTTTTAATTGAGACAAATTATATCAATAATTAAGGAATAATTCATTGTTGCTATTGTCATTTTTTGTTTTTATCCATTTTTGAGCATGTTTTTTTAATAGTGACTATAATTTTTTTATTTTATCAAAAACTAGATGTCAAAACGAAAAAAATGGGTACCCCCAAGAACTTTGTACGATAATTTTTCACCGTAGAATTTCTTAAAAAAAAGTGTTTTGAGTCGAGAAAAATTATTATCTCGAAATCTTTTTTATTTTAAGACATACAAAGTTATAATTTCACCTAATTTCATCAGAATTAAATTATTTTTGGAGGAGTGAAAAATATTTTATCGAAATATTTGAGGTTATATTATAAAGTGACCTTTAAAAAGCAGTAGATTTTTGCTTGCTACAACTTTTGAATTATAAATTTTTGTTTTTGTTGCAACTTTCGTCAGAAATCACGATATTACCATTTTTTTACTCCTTTTCAACCCCCTAAAAGTTTGTTTCAACCCCCTCTGGTTGAATTATTTTTTGACTTATTACAGGCTCCTCTACCATTTACATTTATCAAAATCCACTTAAAAATTATTTTTTTCCTCTAAATAGGTTAATTCGACTGGTCTATAGCAGGTTTGTTAACACTTTAATGAAGATATAAAATAACCTTACTCAACAAACAAATAAATAAATAATAATAAAAAATGAACTTACAGGTATTTGGACAAAAGTCCCGTTACTTAGTACCGGATGCGAGTAGAGAGGCACAACAGGAATACTCCCATTTTTAATAAAAATAGGACCTTGTATGGGCGTCACTGGAACATTAATCTTATCATCCACATCATCTTCATCATCGTAATCATAATCTATCACCGCATGGACTCTAGTTTTAGTCCCTTCGTCTGTCACTTTGGTAAAACCTGGCGGATGATTCTGATTCTGGTTCGGAATCTGGTTCTGATTCTGGTTTTGACCATGACCGTACCCTTGAACCAAGTGACCTTGCGGGATACGGCCTTGAGGAAGAGGAATACGGCCTCGATTTTGAGGATTTTGTCGATAGGGAGGATATTCTTCTGATAGAAAAGGTTTTTGCGGTTGGGGATAGGAATAGCCTTGTTGGGGAGGTTGGTAAGGTGTAAAAGTTTGAGGTTGCTGATAGTAATTCGTTGGAGGAGGGTTAGGTGTTGCTAAGTACGGAGTTGTATAGTTCAAAAGAGCCATTTCTTGTAGAATGTCAGTGGCTGATGTGATGGATGTGATGTTTCATTTTTGAACGTGTGACCTTGGTTGGGTGCATAGGATCTGTAAATATAAAATAAGATGTTTGTTACTAAAAATGCTGCATTACCATTTTGTAGAAATAATAATGATTTCTCGCTTTTATATTATCGGAACTATAGAAAATAGATTTATTGATAAATTATTTGTGTAACAATAATTATATATAAATTTTCGACGTATCCTCGTATTTCATCTAACGAGTTGGTTTATCGATCGATGCATCCATCTGGTTAGAAAGTGTCTGATTTTGAGAGACTCCAGCGAAAGAACTTCATTAGCTATCTAAATTCATTATCAACAATAATTTATTTAAATTCTTTATATTATCGAATATATTTTTACAAGTCAGATTAAAGAAAGTAAATGTTTAATAGATAGGCTAGTATGAGTGTCTCGATCTAAGAAAGTTTTTTATTTTTTCGTTCTTTTTTTGTATAAATTTATATAGGATCATTTAGCTTAATTGACATGGCGTTAATTTTAACCCCATGAAAGGTTCTTACTTTTTTAACTAAAAAAAAAAACACGTAATTTAAAAAAGCCATAATAAAGTAGTAGCGTTAAAAATAAGGGGAAATATTGTCACTAATTTTGATAGCGCGCCACTAGTTCAATTTTTCAAAATAATACTTTCTTGAAGACCATATTGGTCACCAAATTTGGTAAAAATATTTAAAGTCGTTTTTAATTTATGGCAAATTTTGAATTTTGATTTAGAACTTTTAACACCCTGTAACTCGGCAACTAAGCCCTTTAAGAGTCCATCTCAACTTAAACTGACTATAACAGCAAACATGGCCTATTTACATATATCTGTAGTGTCTTTAATTGTTCGCGCATTCACCAGAACTTACTGCGATGCTTTCGCCAGAATTGTTCCCGAAAATTCTAGACATTCGTTCATCATTTACACTGATCCATAGTAAGTGCTTTAGACAAAAATTGCAATTTCGTATCATTCGTCGACATGTTGAGAACTTTCTAAATTCATCAAACTTTAAAAGTCAACGGTTTACTACGATTAACGATGTCTACCATGGGCGTATCATTAGAGGAGATTTCGCAGGTTGACCTATTCCATCAAGTATTCTTGGTAAACAGTAAAGTGGAGGGCGCAGAAGCCCAAATAAGGTATCGTGGCTTGCTTAAAAAAAAATACAGGTTGTTGTATTTGGCTCCAGGCCGCATAGCTAAGGTAGATAAGTTAAATTTTTTTAAATTTTTTCATTTTACGTATAGTCTAAGATCCGAAATAAGGTCGACCTTCACCCATCTGTTTACCGGATGAAAGTTTTTTTTTATTAAATAAAATATGTTTTTAAATATACCGCAAATGGGTTGCCTAAGAAAATTCGGTCCAGACTATTTATTTTCTTAAAATAAAAAAAACGACACCCTGTAAAGTATTCCCCAAATGCTTTGACTCTGCCCAAACTTGAATCAGCTCATCGCAGGATAGATTAAAGCTTAAGTTCAAAATTTGGTGTTTTTCTCTTTATCCGTTTTTGAGTTATCTTCAAAATTCGAAATTTTCACTTTTCATAAAATATCTCAAATTAGGTCCATTTTAGGAAAATCATGTATAGAGACAAAATAATAGAGAATGACATCATAAACAACTTTTATCATGATTACTATACTTTCCTTATCTGTACACAAAGAGGAAAGTAAAAATGGCCGTGACCGTATTTCCTTAGGCAACCCATTTGCGGTATATTTAAAAACATATTTTGTTTAATAAAAAAAACTTTCATCCGGTAAACAGATGGGTGAAGGTCGACCTTACTTACGGATCCTGGACTAGTATTATTTGTTTTTCGAAGCAACCCGCGATTGCTCCAAGTAGCCCAGATTAGGTAAATGGTTAAGTTTTTTAAGCTATTGCATAGCTTTTATCGCGGGCTTTAAGCGCGGCGACCGAATCAAGAAATTTCCGTAACGAAAATAACTTAACACCCCCCACTCCGACCGGCACAGCGGTGCAGCGTTGAATGCCGTGGAAGGTTTTATCCGAATCCGACCCTATTCGTATTAGTATGAAGCGGAGTTAAATATACGTCTGCGGACTGGAACGTTTATGCAATACAAGAACTAGAAGTTAAGTAATAATGATAGTTTCCATTAAATTATAATGTAGGTATCATTTGACATGATAAAATTTTGTTTCCAATTTATTTTTGTTTAATTAAGAAGTAATAATTCGTAAATATTTGTAATCAAATGTTATATATTAGTATAAACGATTCCAAACATATCAAGATAAGCTCGCTGGCGCAGAGCGAACAGTGGTCAAAATTTGGATAGTGTGGATAGCAAAGTTGGTGGTTCGAGCCCCGAAACTTTTAGTTTTTTTGTTTTTTTTTCTTAAAAAAAAAAGAAAAATTATTAATGGTACTTTAAAATGTTTAGTTTTTAAAAAGTATATACTTATTCAATGCATAGTGGCGCATAACGAGGTTCATTCAAGTTCAGCTAATTTTAAAAATGCAAGCTACCAGTGGAGACTTCGTTTATTTAAATTCAAAGAGATAAACAAATAGGAAATATATTTTTTTTTCAATAAGTACAACAATATTAACTTCTCATTTATTCAATAAAAGAAAAAAAATTGTTTTCTTATCGGTCACCACGCTCAAAAAGTGTAACTTGAATTAATATTAAAGAAAAAACTTGAATTAATATCAAAGAAAAAAAAAATACTGCACAAATAAAATAAATAAATAAATAATTATATTTGCATAAGTTGATAAAAAATGCTATGCAATAGCTTTACCGCGGCAGTCCCCGAGTGCCACACGTATTTTTAATATTAACTAGATAACTGGAATATTTTGTCACCTGCTATTTTGTCTTTGCACTATTTTGTCCCTGCGCTATTTTGTTCTGCGCTATTTTGTCCTGGGCTATTTAGTCCTTGCTCTATTTTGTCCTGGGCTATTTAGTCCTTGCGCTATTTTGTCTTAAGGTATTTTGTCTGCGCCATTTTGTCCTGCGCCATTTTGTCCTACGTTGTTTTGTCATGGAGCCCTTATTCATTCGCTCCGCAATTCCATCCGACTGTGGGTGCAACGCTGTTGATCTAGTTTTCTTTTTGTTTAGTCTGTTACAGATTCCTTGAAAACAATCTATCGACGTTGTATTGTTTTTTGGGAATCTTCTTTATTTACAGTATCTCATTTCTGACACCAATGTATCGTTTTTTAACGTCCCCTTCGATATATCTTCTTTAAAAACGTTATATTATTATTGTTTATAATTAAATTGCCTGATTCTCAAAGGTCAAATAAACACTTGACCGTACCACCAAACTTCGCAAATCGTATTCAACGTTTTTTGTCTATGAGTCTCTAATCCACATTTTCAACTATTTATTGGACTCGTCTCGCTTGACTCAACCTTCTTATAAGCTCGTGAATGGCCACTCCAATGTTCGACAGCGGTCCAGCAAGAATCGAGATTTCCAATTTTTCAGTAGGGGAGAGCGAGGCACAGTGGACAAGGGGCACAGTTAACACACTTTATTTAAACTGTATTTACGTCGGAGTAATTCGACAACCGTCGGATATAACGTGACAAATGCTTTCCTCGATGTACTGTTGTAATTTTGATTCAGTCGGTTAAATAGTTTTGAGTGATAGCCAGTTTAAAAATTGTGAAGTGTGCAAGTAAAATATTTTATGGTAAGAATTCTTGTTTTATCTCCTGCATCTCATTACTTTTTGAAATGTTTATATTGACGGTTTTTTTCTACTTATGAGTTAAAAAACATTTAAGACGCACACGGGGTACAGTGGCCACCATTAACAAAGGGAACAGTGGTTACTGCTACCATAAACATGGGGTACTGGGTCACTGCTTTATTTACATATAGATTAATAATATACACTCCATTACTGATGCAAATATTTTTCTTTTAGAAAATGGTACGTAACCGAAAACGAAAAAGTAAAATTGGCCTTGTAAAACCACAATGTTTGCTGGCGTAGTTGCAGTAATCAATTGGGGTTACAGTTTAAAAAGGGCAAGTCTTACTTTTGATAGCCCAAGAAGCACAGTAAAGCGATACGTAGCTAAATGCAAAAATTTAAATATAGACTGGGACCACGCAACTTTAGAAGATCTTCCAAAACTTTCTCCACATTACACAGTTCGTCAAATTTTCACAGAAAGTGAAGAAGAAAATGTATGTGAATATTTAAAAATAAGCGCAAAACTTCATCATGGTTTACCCCCAATCGCTGTGAAAAAACTGGCATATCAACTAGCAGTTACAAACAATAAAAAATTTTCAAAGTCTTGGGAAAAAGACAAATGTGCTGGACGGGATTGGTTTACAGCATTCTTAAAAAGAAATAATAATATTTCAATACGAACTGCTCAGTCAACATCTCTGGCTAGATTAATGGGATTTAATAAACCAGTGGTAGATGAATTTTACAAAAAACTTAGAGCTGTATTCGAAATTTAAGTTTAGTACAGATATAATATATAGTGTGGACGAAACGGCTTTAACTACTGTTCAAGATTCTCCTAAAGTTGTAGCAGCAAAGGGCCAAAAGCAAATTGCACAGGTAACATCGGCAGAAAGAGGGTAACTAGTAACTATGTGTGGAGAAGTAAGTGCAATAGGAAACGTTATACCTCCTCTGGTAATATTTCCAAGAGTTCACTATAAGGATTTTATGCTGAAGGGTGCCCCTCCCTGTTCTATAGGCTCAGCTTGTCCATCAGGTTGGATGTTAAATAAAATTTTTAACTGATATTTGGAATATTTTAGACGATATTCAGGAGCAACCAAGGAAAATCTTGTGCTCTTAATAATGGACAACCACGAGACCCACATCTCTGTCAAAGGTATTGATATAGCAAAAGCAAATGGCGTAGTGTTGTTCACAATTCCCCCTCATACTAGTCATAAACTCCAGCCATTGGATTGTGGA